GAGTTCTAAGAGCAAAGAGACTTGGGGAGGGAAAAGAGGCAGGGAGAGGTCAGAGAAGTCTCCATAAAAAAACACTACCCAGAATAATAAAGGAACGAACTAAGGAATCTCAGACACACGCTAGCTGGGCAGGGGTCAGTCTGTGGGCCTCCATTCTTAGGAAGCTCTGCCCTGGAGTTATAGACACATAGTGGGAGCTACAGGGGATATGGGCAGGCAGGGATGGGAAGGTGGCTCCCACTTCTCAGGCAATGGGCACTTTCTACAATAAACATTTGTGTTATACAATCTGCCTTCTGCTAAAACTCACCAAAGTGTATCAAAATTTACACATCTAGGTGTAAGCAAAATCAATCCCATTTTTTAAATCTTAATTTTGTTGTTGTTTGGTTTTTCAAAATAGTGTTTCTCTGTGTAACTAGAGTCTGTACTAGAACTTGCTCTGTAGACCAGGCTGGCCTCAATCTCACAGAGGTCTGCTTGACTCTACCTCTTGAGTGTTGGGATTAAAGGCATGTGCTGCTGCTGCTTGGCTTATTTTAATTTTAATTAAAAAATTTAAGTAAAAGATAAAGAAAGATTAAAGCAATTTTAGGGGAAGCAAACTTTGGTTTTTGTAAAAAGATAAAAAGTAGCATCTACTATCTCTATCACTATATATAAAGGGTGCCTTTTAGTACCTAGAGAGTATGAAGACCTAATAATAATTTTTACATTTATGTAGTTGTAGTGTGTGCGTGTGTATGCATGTGTGCACACGTGTGTGTGTGTGTGTGTGTGTGTGTGTGTGTGTGTGTGTGTTGTAACATGCCATATCATCCATGTGAGGTCAGAGAATAACTTTTGGTAATTTGGTACTGTGTCTCCTTCCATCAAGTGGACCCCAAGGGACTGAACTCAGGTCATCAGGCTTGGTGACACATGCCTTAATCCTCTGACTCTAATTGCTCGCCCCATAATATATTTTTAAAATGGAACATGCAATGCATTTTATTTTCTTCATTTTGCCACAACAGGACAGCTCTTTCCAGAGGAATCTCCCTTGCTTGGAAGTTGGCCTGTACCGGTCTCAGGCCAGCTACGAGTGGATGGGATCCTCTAGATTGGATGAAAGGTGACGAGGTCACAGCGTGAAAGAGTGTAGGAAGACTCTTCAGCATGACTCCGGCCAAGGGACTCCCAGAGTCAACTGACCTAGGGCCTGCGGAATTCAGAGAGTTCTCCAGAAAGCACTCTGACTGGACTATAGGTGCGGCTCCGTGGTAGTGAACTCCTCTAGCTCACCTGGGGCTCAGCCCCAGCGCACAGGCACAAAACCCAACCCATCTGACCCTACGTTTCTTTTGCTCAAAAATCATCATCAATGCTCATTCTGAGATGACAGATTCCCTATTCCATCCTTCAGCACAGTAGACACTCTAGATATTATAGTAAAACCAACCCAAGAGAAGAACGAAACAGACATCTAGGAACTGTGGGCTCTTGGGTGACAGTGGTAATCTCCTCAGTTTTCTTTCTGACTCACACATTCACTCTGTATCTGAAGAAGCTAGAGATACCAACAGAGGTTGACAAATAACCCAACAAAAGCCCGCTGTCTCTAGCTAAAGGACCAAGTAAGGGCAGCCACACTACCCAGTTTTACATTGGTTGTCCTAGCTCATCATCAACACAGAGAAGGTTGTGTCCACATTCCCAAGGGCTCAGTGGGCCACAGGAATAGTTTTCGAACCCAACAGGTTGTAGTGAGTTCCTCACCGGGAGCCAGGCCCTCTACCTCCTGGTAGAGGAGTGGCCCTTTCATCTCCCACATAGGGTGCTGTCAAAGAAGGCCTGGTGAGATTCAGAACTTAGCGTTAACATAAAAGTGACAAGGCCATGTGGACCAAGTGACCTGGCATTTGTGTCTCCCCCTACCGGGATAAACACCCCCTCACCCCCTAGAAATAACAAGAGAATAGCATCCTTGTCCCTTATATGTTGTTCGAGTTCCCTATCTGTCGCTGCAAGTAAACATTCCGATGAAAGCAACCAAGGGGAGGAAAGGGTTTGATTCCACTTCCAGGTAACGGTCCTTTAATGAGGGAAGTTAGGGCAAGGATGTAAGATAGAGCTGGAAGAAGAAGCTGGAAGAACACTGCTGGCTTGGTAGCTCACTGCTACTCCTCTGGTTTTCCTATACAATCCAGGGGACAATGCCACTCACAGTGGGATGGGCCCTCCTGCATTAATTCACGAGACAATTCCCCATGGCCACTTAATCTGGAGTATCCCTTAGTTGAGACTGCCTTCTCAGGCAACTCTAAACCAGTTCTCAACATGCGTGTGGCCACCCCTTTGGGGGTCAAACGAGCCTTTCTCAGGGGTTACACATCAGATATTCCACCCATCAGGTATTTATATTACGATTCATAACAGTAGCAAAATTACAGTTATGAAGTAGTAACAAAAATAATTTTATAGTCGGGAGTCACCACAACATGCAGAACTGTATTAAAGGATCATAGCCTTAGTTAGGAAGGTTGAGAACCACTGTGCCAGACTGTGTTGAGCTGACAGTTGAAAGCTAACCAGAACATCTCTGAGCAGAGACTGAGCAGAGAACTCAGAATTTTTATCCCTATTACATGGTGATAGGTGAGACCTGCCCCCTCCCCTACAGTGCTAGAAGAAGCCAGCTAAAGAAACTGAAGCAGATCCAGCATCTTCTGTGACATAAAGCCTCGAACATTCAGGTTTCAATCAGAAGTCCCTCATCGTACCCAGAACCAGGAAAATGTCAGGCTGAATGAGGATGACAGACAACCAGGTCAACACCGAGATGACATCGAGATGAGGATTAATGGAGATCATTAAGCAGACACATAAGAAATGCTTCACTGATCAGCTACAAGCATGCTTGGACACGGAACAACCTCTGCGCACCTCCCAGGGTGGAGAAAACAGAAAATGGCAACACAGTCAAATGCTGTGATCAAGCAAAGACAACCAGAGCATCGGGATCACTAACACGTGACCGCGGGAGAGCAAAAAACGTCACATCCGCTCTAGACAAATGCTGTGCCCAAGAAACCCAGAACATCTGGATCACTAACACGTGACTGTGGGAGCACAAAAAAAATGTCACATCCGCTCTAGACAGGAATTGGCAAGTCCTTAAACATACCAATGTGTATCCACTATATGATCCAGCAAGAGTTCTGAGGCGTTTACTCTGGAGAAATTAAAATTTATATTCACACGAAGTCCTGTACACTGCCCTTGAAAGTGGTTTTAGGGCTAACTATTAAAAACTAAAGACAGTTCACAAACTGACATAAAGCCACAGTGAGAAACACTGCTCAGTAATTATAAACCAGGCTCTTGATACATGGAATAGTCTAGACGTATCTCCAGAAAATTATGCAGAAGGGAAAACGGATTCTAAAGTGTGTATGTTATATGACCCTGCACCGAAATGGTTATTATGCAAATGAAGAGCAGATTGGTGCATGTGATCTGGGGTAAAAGAGAGAGAAATGAAGGAAGAATCACCATAAAAGCCACAAGAGGGATTCCTGTGGCCGCATGGAAGCACACTGCATCCTCTCTGTGCCAAGGCAACTGTATCCAAATCCTGCATGAGAAGTTCTAAAGCTTTGCAAGATATTACCAAAAAGAGAAACTAAGTGAAGAATTGTAAAACTGCTGTGCATTATCCTTAAGAGCTACACGTGAACCTGTAATTCCCACATAAGGAAACATTTAATTAAAGAAGAAAACCAAAGAAATCACAGAATAACCGCCAAGTTAGATTCTAACGAGAGAATTTTATACATGACCCAGAAGCATCCTCCTTTGACTTCTAATGCTTTTTAGCTGGTGTAAAATGTGTACAAGGAGATCTGAGCTCAGCAGCTTGTAAAATTATCCCAGAGTGAACACACTTACCTATCACACAGGCTAAGAAATAGAATATCTGCTTCCCAAAAGATTCTCAAAAAATCTCCCATGTTCATAGCTAACATTTTTATAGCATTAGCTCAGCAGCAACCCTCTAGCTTAACAGAATAGTGCCTATGGCCACGATGTGAGCCTACGGCTGTGATGGAGCCGCTAGCTGCCCAGGAAAGGAGAAGAAAGAGTCCCAGTTCCCCACAGACGTACCAGCTCCCACAGGCCAATCCTGTTCCTTTCTGTCACCCCTTCATGCTTTCCTTGCCTGGGTGCTAAGTCCCAAGAATTTTGAGTTTTCCAGGGAAGAGGAAATTCTAAACTCAACACAGCAATGCTTTTTCCTCTAAGCTGAAAGAGCAGGTGGACACAGGGGAAGGCACCGGGATGGGGCAGCAACACTGGAGAGATGGCTCAGTGGTTATGAGCATTTACTGTTTTTTTTGTTTGTTTGTTTTGTTTTTTTTTCAAAGAGGATGACTGTTTTATTTGTTCCTCACTGTGTTGCAAAGCCAATACTACAGAGGAAAAACATGGCAGCCAACGCAGCACATGGTAAGATTACGACACTTTCCTGTGCTCCTGGGCATTGCCAATGAGAAGACACATGAAGTCTGCTTACCAAAACCCAGTGGTGGGTGTAGGCAAGTTACAATATTATGGGAGATTTACAATGCTGTTATCGTGATACGGAATTCTTATAATCACTAGGTAGGGTCTCACCAAGTAACTCTGGCTGGCCTAGAACTTGTTAGTATACCAGGCTGACGGCGAACTAACAAGAGATCTGCCTGTTGAGTGCTAGGATTAAAGGATAGGTCCATCACCAAACCCAGCTTCATAGACGATCTCAAGAATTCTAAACACCAGAGCTTAAGCCCTCATTTAAATTCCTAGTATGGGGATTATTAAAAGTATGTACATTGTGTTTATCTGCACCCATCAGGAAGTTTTAATAGCACTGTCGAGAACAGTTTCCTTTCATCAGTATTACTAAGGTACTTCAAATCTTCTATCCTCCACTAATTTAAGACAAGCATCCTGGAGCGGGTTACTTCCCACAGTTCTGTTGGGAGCGGGGTGCCACATTCACTCCTCAATGGATTTCACGTACTTTTCAGAGGCTTCTTCGCTCATTAGGTCATCCAGCTCTGAAGGGTCACTCAGTGCCATCTTGATCAGCCAACCATCTTCATAACAGGATTTGTTGACGATCCCCGGGTTTTCTGCCAGAGCCTCCTTGACTTGGGTCACGTCTCCCGACAGAGGGGAGTAGAGTTCACTGGCGGCCTTCACACTCTCCAAAGCACCGAACTCATCTTGTTTTTTCAATTTTGTTCCAACTTCAGGCAGACTACAGTAAACAACATCTCCCAATGCTTCCTGTGCAAAATTGCTGATTCCCACTGTTCCAATACCATTCTCTGTGGTTATCCATTCGTGTTTCTCTGTGAATTTACGCGCTGACTGCACAGCGGATCCAGGGCGCAGCACGCGGACGGGATGCTAGCCACTCGCAGCGACATGATGGGGGGGGGGGTCCTAGGGTAACCGCACTGCGCCTCCGCCACTGGTCGGGCGGTCACCAGGTGGGCCCTGTTTTTTTTTTTTTCAGAAGACCTGGGTTTGGTTCCCAGCATTCACATCTGGAAGCGACTGCCCATAACTCCAGTTCTGGAGGGTCCATCACCCTCTACTGATCTCATTAGGTACAGGAGGAACATGACACACATAAACCCATGCAAGCACACACACATACATGTCCATAAAAGTAAATGAATAAATCTTAAAAGTAATCTGACTTTAAGTAAGTAATCTTAAAAGTAATTGAAGGGAACAGGCGACTTACCTTCAGAAAATGAAAGCAACCACAGTTTTTCTTTTATAAGTGTGTTAACTTACATCGAAATCGATACACTGGGGATGATTTGCTTCTGTTGCAAGTGAAATCCATTACAGTTTACAGGAATCATAATAAAATCATTGTCCATAGCTGTGACTGGGGTCTGGTGGGCTCCATCTCCTGAAAGGTCTTTTTGGTATAACACAATAACTCTTAGGTACAAATCCCAACCATCAGACATTTGTGAACCCTGGGTGAGGGGGTAAACCCTGACGGAGAAGAGTGCCCCCCAGTTGCGCCCAGCACACTAAGGATCTCCTTGAGGCACTTAGGGTGATGCCCCTGCCAGAACCCAGAGACTGGAGATCTACAAGACAACTTGCCACTGCTGCAGTTACAGCCCTCTGCTCTTGAACTAAGGAAACGGAATGATCCTGGTTCGTTTCCCAGATACACAAAGCTCTACTGTGGGCAGGGTGTCTGTCCAGGTGGCTGCCAGGTGAAAATCAGGGCTGGGGGCGGGGTATGACCTCACGAGCTCCTGTTACTGGTTAAACCGAAGAAACCAAACCTCCCTCGTATTTTCTTAACCTCAGCTGAATGACTCCATTTATCAGGTCAAGCTTGTGTTTCGTGGAGGGGAAGGGAGAAGGAGCGATCCCCTGACCTTATCACTGATCTGCGGCACTAATAGTCTTCCCATCTCTCTGTTTTAAGGTCGTTGGTCCTAGGAATAGATGTTTGGCTAGGACAGACACTCTAGTTGTTCCCTGATGTCCCCTGAAGGTCAGCCCCATTCTAGCTAGCCTTTCAACTCCAACTGGATTTTCAGCCTTTCTAGTTACATGTCCAGTGCGACCACTCCAGAGCGATGCCACCCCAGCGCCACAACCTGCTCCTTGGCCCTGGGCAGGACCTGTGTCTCCTTTCCTGAGCAGGCGAGGTCTCACCACCTTTCCCCTTTGATGGGGAGGTCCCAGCAGGGTTTCTCTATCTCAGCACTTGCCAGAAGCCACATCAGATGAGCTTAAACTGGCGGAGAGCAGGGAACTTTTCTCATCCTTCTTATAAAGAAAATGAAAGCCCTGGGCCAAGGAGCCCTGCCTCAGTTTCCTACTCCTGTGCATATTTTCAGCATCCACTGCTGGAAACCTCAGCTCATGCAGCATTGGATCTGCCCATCGAACATCTGCTGAGTGGCCTCTGTCCAGGTGGCTTGGGCCAAAGGAAACAGGGATAAGAATCTAAGTGCTCTTCAGAAAGAACACCCCATAGAACATGGGAAAGGGCCAAGGAGGTATCTGCAGCAAGTAAAGGCTCCACGAGCCCTTCCTGAGCTTTGTGACTGCCCAAGTGTGGGGCATACATTCTCCTAAAAGCTAAGATTGAGAAGGGCTGGCATCACAATGCCATCTTTCCTGCTTGCAGCTCTTTCCCTAATTCTTTTCTATGTTGTTTTGTTTTGTTTCTTCCCCACCCCAGACCTCTTAGCCACTGGACAGTATTTGCATTTATAGTCTATGCTTAATTAAAAAATAAATGAGTAATTTGAGTGAATAAATGCACCACATGTATAGAAGTAAATAAAAATAATGTCAAGTACAAATGCAATAAAAGAACATTAGCAATCTCCTGAATTCCAATAGTAGCCCAGGGATCTTTGCTTTAGGGATGTGGGGTCGGCCATACACATTTTGCACATTCTCATTCCGAGCCATATGGAAGAATAAAGCACTGGGAACTGATGCGAGGGCCCTCCATCACCAGCCTTGAATTCTCCTCCTCAGCAATTCAGCTCTTTGATTGACTGAACTGAAACTGAAACTCTAGCCCTAGGGGTCACCCTAGTTAGGAGCAGACACAGCCAAGAGCCCAGATCACACACCATCAGCAAACTCTTGGCAGCTCTCATCCACTCAGGGAGAGAATGAATCATCTCTTCCTGCCAGGCAGCCTGTTCTGTTCTGCTTCCTCTTACAAGTGAAGCAAAGCAAGACCTGGGCTCTGCTGGACACATCTGTGGCTGCATCGAAAAAAAACAGGCTACGAGTCATGGGAGAAAGACGCAGGTGGGCTTCGCTCCAGCAAACGTGTCCTGCCACGAAAGAGAACGTTTGGACAAAGCAATGAAATGAACTTGACTGGAGGGGTGGAAGTGTCAAAATTTCTTGGACATAGTTCTGGCTGATATTTCTTTTCTCGTTTCATGAATGAGTTTTCGGTGTTTGACTCTCATGGGTGATTTCCCTCTGAGAGGTAGAGAGTTAACCCTCCTTTTGCTGGGCCTGGGCTTCCCAAGCTTCCCTGGATGCCTGGCAAATCCTTCATTGCCTGTGACTCATTGACATCTGTATTTTAAGTTCTAGGAAACCAAACCCTAGGCGGCACTTGGCTAAGAGTTGCCTCCACCACACTGAGGAGGGTCCTCTTTTGATCTGCAGCGCACAGCAAGGCTGTGGTTCACTCTACACACCCCAACTGGAAAGTTCCCTTGGCCGTTGATGTTGCAGTGGGATCTGACCACATGGCCGCTCGTGCTTGATTCTTCTCCGTACGTCCTCAAGGGAGGCTCACAGTGGCAGAGCTGGTAGAACTGACAGAGCAGGCTGGCTGTGCCCAGGTCAGAGGGCACAATGAGACTTTCCATTCACCACCTGTCTACTTCAAAGGAGGACATGAGCTGAGAGACTAGGGGCTAAACCAAAAAGTGCATACATATTCCAATTTGCTGATTTCAGGAGCTGAGATTAAAATTTCATGTTTTTAGTCAATGAAGTTTGGGACTGCAAAGATGCTTCAGTGTATGCATAACAAATACTTGACCTTCTCCAAACCACAAGTACGTCTGTGCACACACAGGAGGCCACTGCCACCAACTATCTTCCTCATCGCTCCCCACACTATTTTTGTGACAGGGTCTCTCTCGGTTCTCTGACCAGCTAGACTGGCTGGCTAGCAAGCTCCAGGGTTTCCCCACCTCTACCCCTCCTCTAGCATGACAACCATAGATATCTAGTGCCACCATGCCCAGCTTTTTACATGAGATCTGAACTCAGGTCACCCTACATGGCAAATACCGACTAAGTCATGTCCTTAGCCCTGGGTGCGGAGATTGAATCTGGGATGGGTTTTTAACTTCTGTTTGTCACTTTTATTCACTTATTGAGTGGGGATTCCATCAGCCTTCCATACCTTGAAGGTCTTTGTGAGAATGAACGAAACGGTCTTTTAGTACAAATATGCTCGTTTCTAGTTATCAATAGACCATAGCCTCACTGTAACGCCTGGGTGTTCTGGGAGGCCTCAGCGTCAGAAATGAGTCCAGGCTCACTCCTCTGACCCATGTCTTGTTGTCATCTTGGTCAGCTTTCTAATTCAGAATGCTTTTTATATTTCCAGGAAAGTGCCAAAGACAATCCAGAGAGTTCTCCTACGCCGTTTACATGGTTCATCTAACGCTAATGTCTCACATAGCTCTAGCCCATTGTGAAAACTTAAAAGCAGCATTTGTGCGTGGCTACTAACTAGACTACAGCTGTCACTCACTCTCGCCATTTCTTCTACTGAAGCCCTTTTCTGCTCCAGCGTTCGGGCCTCATTCATACATGGCGGCCGGTCCTTATGTCTGACTGGTCTCCGAGATGTTTCCAAATTTCCTCATCTTTGATTCACTTCCCATTTGGAGGCACACTGGTCACGTTGTGTGGAGCACTTTTCACTTTGGCTTTGCCTGCTGTTGTGTTTTCTCGTGGTTAGAGTTAGGGGTTTTGGGGGGTGGGGGAAGAAGTGCTTCCTTAGCATGTGGCAGTAGAGGCACATGCTATGAACAATTCTGCAATTGATAAGGGTAACATTACTCACTTCCTCACAGGAAAATCTGTCAGGTTTATCTTCTGCATACTCTCTGTTTTAAGAAATATTTATTTTAATGATGTGTATGTGAGTGTAGCTGTGTGTGGGTATTTGCACATTGAGAGCCGTGTCCTAAGAGGCCATAAGAGGGCATCAGCTTCCTCTGGAACCAGAGGTGCAGGCCTTTGTGAGTCTCCTCACACAGGTCCATGCTCTTCCCGACTGAGCAATCTCTCCAGCCCCGAGTGTACGAGTCATTTCCCGAGATTTCCTGCTCCTTTAATCAACACGTGGTTAGGAGCCAGGAATGAACTTCAGGCATGCTTGCTGGCGCCATTTTCTGGCAAGCACACCAGTAAAGGCTTGGAGTTGGGAAGGCACAGGTTTCTCTGACTTTGGGCTGATTACTTTTTTACTCTGAGCCCCAGTTTCCTCATCAGCGAGTGAGGAAAAGTGAAAAGCACTCGCAGGGTTGAAGGAGTGTGAGGAATGCCATCAGAGAGGCTAGCTGCTTCTGAGCCCAGACGCTGCTTTCCCACACCAACTTTCCGCTGAATATTATCAAAGTATTTGGGGAAATCACGGGAAACAAAGTCAAAGCATCAATGAGTTGATAAAACAATAAAAGTAATTTTAAGAAAAAAGGGAATCTAAAGGAATAGAAAAGGAATTGCATTTTCTCTGAAGCCATTTATCGTTTCCAGCAGATCTGAACTTTCATTTTGATAGAGAGACAGTGACTGAGGAGGGACAGAAGGTCATGACAGTAAAACACCACAGACAACACTAGGTCACCACAGGAGACGGCCCTCGCCACAGGAGACTCTCGCCACAGGAGACCCTCGCCATAGGGGATGACCCTCGCCACAGCAAACTGCGATGCCAGGGAACAGGCAGGTGAAATAATTCCTCCCTGAATTTTATGACTCTTTTGAAGAAACCTCAAGCAAGGCTTGAGTTTAAGGCTGGCCTTCTCCTGGATGTCTCTTCAGAGTGTCTTGTAAGGTGAAGGAGCCTCAACTGACCTTTCATAAATCATAAAACATTTACATTACTCCAAAACACCGAACATCACGCAACAGAAGGTAACTCGACACACAGCAAATATGGTCGGGAAAGGAAATAAAAGTTTAAAGACTGAAGAACTTAAAATTGTTTCCTAAAGGCTATAAAACCACAGTGCTTTAATGTGTAGAGAAATAAAGGATAATGTTAAACATATTTGTGGAGTAGAGACTAAAATGTACCACAGGTAACATGACAAAGGAAGAAGGGACCTGTTCAGATAAACATTCTAACACCTCGGATAAAAGCCAGGGGAAGGGAATGGGTTAGCTGAAAAGGGAAACACATCTGAGAAGCCGGGGGAAACACTTAGGACACTTTCCAGAACACAGAGAACCCCAGTCTGTCCATCTCATGGATTTATCAGAACTCTCCTGCTGGGCATCTTCAACTCACCGAGGACCCCAAACTTACTGACAAACCAAAGCTCAAGATTTCATGGATGACTTGAGGTTCCTGTAAAGAGGTATGGCGGAGGTAGGAGATGATGGAGACAGGCCGACTTCCCTATTCCCTCCCCTTTGAGAACACTTGTATGCTCCAAGTTGGCAGGCTATACATCTGACGAGGAGGCCTTTGAGGAACCCCATTCGACCTTCCAGAGAAAGCTAGTTCTGAGGAGGCTAGCTCCTTCCTTCTCACCTCCCAGTATGCTCTGAGGGTCCCACAGTTGACAAGTGTGGAAATCGTGTAATACTACAAGAATACAAAAACGCTTTTGTGTCTTACATAAACTCAACTTTCCTCTGCTGTATTTTGCTTTTCTTTTAATTCTACATCAAATATTTCCTTATAAAATTTTTTTATTAATTTTTTTTTCAGAGAACTTCATAAGTATTGTATTTACATCATTTAACCGCCTCTCTCCCCACTCTAACTCTTCCCATGGTCCCCTACTCTCTCTCAAATTCATGACTTCTTCTTTAATTATTATTGTTACATACATATATACACTCAAGTATATGTAAATCACCCACCGAGATTTAGGGTTGCTTCTATGTACATATGTTTAAGAGTAATTGCTATGGATTAATTAATCGATCGTGGCCTTTCCCTGGAGAAAACTGATTCTCATTCTGATAGCAGCCCATTGATTTCCTATACCTCTCCATCAGGTGGTGGGGCCTTGTGAGATTTCTATCTGCTTTGGCCCAACTGTTGCCATTATTCAGGCCTTTTTCAGGTGTCCATATTGTTGAGTTTCGTGGATGCATCTTTCCTGTCCTGTCTAGAAGACACTATTAAGTGGTAACCTGGTTCTATGGCTCTTACTATAATTTTAGCTTCTCCTCTCTGTGTAATATTTTTTAAATTAAAAAGTGGCTTCCTTAGCCAGGTGGTGGTGGCACACACCTTTAATCCCAGCACTCAGGAGGTGTTGGCAGGCAATCTCTGAGTATGAGGCCAGCCTGATCTCCAGAGCATGTTCAGGACAGCCAGAGCTCCGCAGAGGAACCCTGTCTCACAAAACAAGCAACAAACAACAACAACAATAACAAGAACAAAATATGGCTTCCCTGCTTATTCCCAAAGCGAGCATTGTCTTTGTGAGATGTCTCCACCAAAGGCAGCTGCCATCTTCATTGCTCTTTACCATTCAAGCAAGCCCTCGGGGCTTCTGTGTCAGAGGCACTGGGGAGATGGCTGGGCTGTTAAGGCATCGGCTTCTCCTCCAGAGGACATGTCTACAATTCCCAGCACCCACATAACTGTCTGAAACTCCAGGAACAAGGGATTCAATGCCATTTTATGGTCACTGAGGGCATTGTACACACGGCACACAGACATATGATTCAGGTAAACACTCATACATGTAAAAGTGAATGGCATGTATGTTGTCCTTAGCAGTAGGGCTTTACCACCAGGTTGTGAAGCACATTATAAAGCTTTGGCGATAGCCTGGGATGTTTGGGGATCCATGGGATCCCTTTGGCCAACAACCCAACAAGACATAACCCTTTCCTGGCACAAGGTTTTTCCTTGGTGGCATAAGAAGTCTTGGGACATTGTCCCCATTACATGGCGATTCCTTTAGAGTCTTTCCTGTATGTATCTACTTTAGAAAGCCTCCAGAGCAGTAAGTTTCCAGACCATTTTTTAAATGGTCTTTAGTGTTAGTTGTCCCTCCCCAGGCTCCCCAAATTTACTCTCCCATCTCCCTCCCAACTTAATCCTAATATTCTGGTTTTCCCTTTGTGTCTCCATAACATTTCCCTTTCCTTAGGAGATCCATCATAGAGGTTGCTTTTTGAAGTAGATAGGATTAACAGAGACCCACAACATGACAATGTATAGAGAATGAGACACTTGGAACACTCAGTCCTGTGTGGGATGTCTTTATCAAACTACTGCCCTTGAGGCTCAGGGATCTGTGTGGAAGAGGAAGTAGAAAGAGGGCAGGAGTCAGAGGTGATGGATAACTCTAAGGAACATCACCCTCCAGGACACAACAGAACGGATGAACTCATAGGGACTGTGGTCCCATGCACAAGACCCACACAGGTTCAAGCCAGATGGGGTCCGGCACTGAGAAGAAGAAGTGGTCTCACTCCTAACCAAGACACCATTTGCAATTGGTAACTGCAGGCAAAGGGAAAACCAGTTTCTCCAGTGGAGTGTCACTGGGCATATTAACCACACTGTTAGTGTTTTTAAAAGTTTGGGACTCTCACTGTAACAAGCCCCTCTGGATACTGCTTGGACTGAGCCGTCTACCTCTTCGCGCTCTCAGAGGAGATGTGCTAGGAACAGGTTTCACTGCTGCTGCTGGCTGTGTTCTCTATCCTTGGAGCAGTGTTTTGGGATGGGTTAATGGCCCTACCTCATGTTAAGGTGCTAAGTAGTTCCTCACTTTCATTGTTGCTGCTGACATCAAAATACCATAGGATATTCCGAATATGAAGAATGAGTTACTATACTTTGGAAGGAGTAAAAAAAATTACTAATACCAACCCCACTTCCACACACCCTTAAGACAAGGAACACGCATGTTTCTGTCTCTACCCTTCATGTCAGGAAGTTCATGCACAGAGAGTCAGTCCTTGTCACTTAATAGAATCATGGAACACAAAGGCCAGAGGCCAAGAGTCAGTGCTTGGAAACCGCAGGGCTGTTTTCTAAGCAAAGAGCCAAGAGCTGGTGCATGAAGTACCGCTTCTGCACTGGAGACTCTTACCTGAGCCCTGATCCGCATGCTGGCCTTGGGAGTCAGGTACTTATGTTCTAAGTACCAGCCCCGCTCCTGGAACACCAGCTTGGTCCCATACAACAGACAAAACTAAAGAGTGAGAGACAAGAAAGAAGCAACTGTTAGAAAATCGGGGTCTGAAAGGAGTCAGAGGTAACATTACATGACATTTCCTAAAGTCAGAAAGTCTTTCCTTAATTAAAATGGTCATGTTTTGGATACAAAGTATATGTTTTATTTTTTTTTAACTTTCCAAAAACCTTGAAAGCAGTTCTAAAATAATAGACAGCTTAGTGAGGTCTCCTGTGTCAATCCCATCTGAGAAATACTAACACACAGTCAGCCTTGATTCACACGTAACTTCCCTGTGTCCTCCACACCCAGGTGACTTAGAAGTCCATTCAGAAGCAATTCTGAAATCCATATGTAGTTCTTTTTGCTTCCCTTCTCATTCATGAAAAATACACAGCAATGTCATCTTGATATTTTCCACTGGGCAACATTTGATTGACTTTCACAAAAATAGCATTCCTCATTTACATCTCGCCTCAGTATGTTTTTTCTGTTACATTTCTGAAACTGAGTACCCTGAATGACATCATAGGCAGCCACCAACCAAAAATCAACGAGCTTCCCAGAGGCAAAGTGGCTTTTCACTTAGCTATCCATCCATTCGCCATTTAATATTCCATAATCTGAAATCATACAGCAAGTGGGGGAGCAGCGTGCAAAGGTCTTCGTGTCTCCACTCAGCTTCAGTTATCAGACCTCCGGCCTCCTTGCCATCTCACCCCCCTCTCAGGCCCCTCTGTGGTATTGTGGCATTAAGCCCAGCCCTACCAAGTCATTTATGAATACACCTCGCTTTCGTATCTCTGAAAGACAATGACTTTTGTGAGGATGGTTTTTGGCTGGGGTCACAGATCAATTATAGGGTACTTGCTTTGCATGCTCAGGAGTTCAGTTTGGATCCCCACCACCCAGTTTAAAAAAAAAAACCCTGAGTTTGGTGGAGAATGCCTGTAATCCCAGAGTTGGGAAGTGGAGGCAGGGGGTTCACTGGCCACCCAGTCTCGTGAGAGACCCTGTCTCAAAAAGAAAGGAGGGGACCAATCAAAGAAGATGCCCACTGTTGACCTCTGCCTTCCATATGCACACGAATGGATGAGTGTATCTTTATACATGGATGCACACACATGTGCACATACATGTGCACACACACAATATATGAGTGGGAAAGATGTGGGAAAAAGCACAAAGGACCGTGGGCTCCTTAGAGCTGGCAACTCTGGCTAGAAGTCAGTGGGGAGCTGAACGCAAAGGCAGTTCCTGCAGTCTGAGAGAGCGGAGCAAACAAGGCTACTGCAGAAGAGTCCTGGACCCCAGTGGAGGTGACTCCCCTTCGGGGAGGTAAGAAGGAGACAGGGAGACCCAGCTAAACTGAGAGGGCAGGGATTCTGCCATGATCTGATCATGTTTCCCAGAAGTCCCTGAAGCACAATTAATAAAAACTCAGAGAAAGAAATTGGGTTTCAACCTGAAGATCCAAAAAGCAAAACAGCCAGTCACTGGCTCTTACCTTGACCTCAGTCTGAAATGGTGATCCTGCCTCCAGGAATCTCAGACTGTGACTGCGAACTGTCTACTCCCATCTTTTACCCTCTCTAGGACTGAGATTAAAGGCATGCAGAGCCCGGTTTCTATGGCAAACTCGTGTGGCTACTGGGATTAAAGGTGTGTGTCATCACGGACTGGTCTGTAAGACTGACTAGGGTGGCTGTTTTACTCTCTGATCTTCAGGCAAGCTTTGTTTATTAAAATACAAATGAAACGCCACTACACGTCCCCCTGTTGGAGACATAATCCTCAAGTTCACATGTGAATGGTACTTAAAGGTGGAGCCTTCACAAGGGTGACATGAGGTCCTGGGGAGCTTGAGAGCAACGTGGCAGCTTTTATAGAAAAAGAATCTTTGTCCAATGATGGTCTGGGCCATATTAGAATGCAGCGAGAAGCCCCTCATCAACTCTGAACAGATAGATGCTCCATGCTCTTAGACAAGTCTCTGAGCTTGTCCAAACTCGGGAATTGAAATCTGACCAATTCCCACCCTGAAAATCCTCTCCCTGGAAAAACTTCATCCCTAAGAAGCCCTACATAAACTCTGCACCCTTTTCAGTTTGCCACCGCCTCACCATAGAGGCTGCTTTGCTCTTGGATTCTTCCCTACCAGTAAATCTCTTGAATAAGGTCTGGGTGATAGCCTTCTTTTGCAGGAACAGATAGGAGTGGAACAGAACTGTAACACTTTCTCTGGGGAAACCTTATCCTAGAATAGCAGAGTTTTAACTCTCCAGGGAACCTGAACAGAACTGTAAGGACTTTGCTGGGGGAAATCCTCCCCTGCAGGGGCAGAGTTGTCACACTGGGGAAACTCCCTTGGAGCAGGACTGTAAGCTGCTAAGCTTAAGGTGACTTTGTGGTATTCCTTGGCTTCTGATTGCCAGAATACTTTTCCATCTGAGCGGCAATGCTCAACAAACAGCACACCTGAAAGTTCTAGAACTAAAAGAAGAAAACACAACTAAGAGGAGTAAATGGAAGGAAAAAAAAACTGAGGGCTGAAATCAATAAAATAGAAATAAAGAGAACAATATAAAGAAAAACAATGAAACAGAGTTGGTTCTTGGAAAAAATCAACAAGACAGACAAACCCTTATTCAAACTAACTAAAAGGCAAAGATTTTCTGTATTTTCTCTAATCCAAGTGAACAAAATTAGAAACAAAAAGGAGAAACGAAAAGTCAATGAAATGATCCCTAGTGATAACCTGCTCTACTCATAGACAGCCTAGCATAACCGTCATCAGAGAGGCTTCATCCAGCACCTGCTGGAAACAGATGCAGAGACCCACAGCCAAACATTAGGTGGAGCTCTGAGAATTCTGAGGAAGAGGGGAAGAAAGGATTGTAGGAACCAGAGGGGTCAAGAATATCACAAGAAAAACCATAGAATCAGTTAACCTGGGCTCATAGGGGCTCGGAGACAGAACCGACAATCAGTGAGCCTTGTGTACTTTGGTTTTCCTGCGAGACACCTAACAATAGGAGTGGGGGCTGTCTCTGACTCTTCCTCCTGCTGGGTTGCCTTGTCCAGCCTTCATACGAGGGGAAGGACCTAGTCTTATTGGAACTTGATAAGTCACCTTTGGTTGATATCCATGGGATGACTGCCATTTTCTGAAGAGAAATGGAGGAGGAGTGAATGGGACATGGGGAGGAAGGAAAGAACCTGGAAGGGAAGAAGGAGGGGAAACTGAGGCTGGGATGTAATAGATGAGAGAAGAATAAGAAAAATTGTAGGCACTTGGGCCTCAAAGCAGTGTGTGCACTCATGTGCTTAAAAGGATCAGATATGAAGTAGCAGAAAGCTACACAGCCCCAAAGGTACCAAAGGAAAAATGGGAAACCATGGGCTTCACGCTCACAAATCTGCCACTTTAGAAGACATCGAGCAATGTAAGAACGCTGTGTGTTACAGGAAATCACATAAGGTGGAATACCTGACTAGAACAGTCTTACAGAGACAAAAGAAGTTGAATCCATCATTTAAATTCTCAAAACACAATCATGATAACACGATGGTCTTGGCGAATCACACCTCTGTCTAATAAAGAACACCAAGGGCATATAACGTCTTCCTGAAGATGGAAGAGCAAGGACCCCTGCTGTCTTCAATGTTAGAGTTTCTATTCTGTATTAAAGACCATGACCAAAATCCACACGGGGCTGAAAGGCTTTATTTCTTCTCACAACTCCCAGTTACCCCAGTGCACTTACCTTGGCGGAGAGGCTCTCAGTCATGTATGGGGTTTGCCCTTGACTATTTCTGTAGGTACTTTGCTCATCATAGTTGAGGGATTCTATTAGCATCTAGTGGTAGAAGCCGGGGATACTAGCAAATATCCCCGCAGCGGGCAGGGACACGTCCCTCCCCGAATACTGAGGCTGGATACGCTGAATACGTACACAATGTGAGTATCCCAGTTATCCGCTACTGTAACGTGCTCACGATGATCTAAAACTTCTCAGCAGGCCTCGCTTCTTACCTTGTCAATGTGGGCATTAAACCTTTAACACAAGTAGGGAGGGACATTCACAATCCAAAAGAGGCACCAAAGCTGAGGAATGCTGTCTTAGAGAAATAAAGGCCTACGTTCATACAACGTATGAACGTAAGAATATACGTTCATACGCAATATGAATATACATATACGCAATATGAATATACATATACGCAAGAATATGTATAACAACTAAACAGCTTTCAGTGGGTGAACAGATAAACTGTGCTAGCTCCGTACAATAGAACACGACTCAGCTGAACCGCCAAGTTGTTGTGCCAAGAGAAAGATGTGAACATGGAAAGTTTAAAGGTTGTGGAGTTCCATTTATTCTCAGAAAGAGAAAACTGTAGTGACAGAGGCTAGATCATTGGTTTCCAGGAGGCATTAGAAAAGGGAAACAAGAATTATAAAACCATAGTAGAATCCTATTTTTAAGAAAGGTTGGCCAGGCAGAGGTGGTGTACACATTTAATCCCAGCAATTAGGAGACAGAGGCAGGTGAATCTCTGTGAGTTCGAGGCCAGCCTGGTCTACAAGAGCTAGTTCCAGGACAGGCTCAGGCTCCAAGGCTACAGAGAAACCCTATCTCAACAAACCAAAAAAAAAAAAAAAAAAAAAAGGTTCTAAGACAACTGGGTATAGAGTAAGGACACTGTCTCAAAACAAAATAAAAAATTGTAGTACTTTGAAAACATCCTTTAGTGACATTTCATTTATGTTTTAATAAACAAAACTTGTCTGAAGATCAGAAGGGCAAACTAAGCCACTAGAGGACAGGCAGTGGTGGCTCACACCTTTAATTCCAGGATTTGGGAGACAGGCAGATGGATCTCTGTGAGTTCAAGACCACCCTGGGCTACCCAAGATCAGTGCAGAAACAAATTCAGGCGGTGGTGGCTCACACCTTTAATCCCAGTACCAGGAAGTCACACACCTTTAATCCCAGCACTAAAGGGAATATAAA